GTTTTCGTCGTATGGGGTGCAGGAGAATGGGAATTGTGTTAATGCATGAAGATTTTTTCACATAAGGGGGTATTTTCGCCCATGTATGTTTCGTTCTAGAGGAGTTTAACTGTATATATAAAAGTCCCCCCCCCAAGACCTATACCTATACCACATTCCATCCTCATAAGTGTGTACTACATATATATATATTCACACACGTATCTATCCATCTCTCCATCTCTCTTTCTCTCTTTCTCTCTCTCTATCTATCTATCTATCTATCTATCTATCTATCTATCTATCTATCTATCTATCTATCTTTCTATCTGTCTACCTACCTACCTACCTACCTACCTACCTACCTACCTGCCTACCTACCTACCCTGCTTCTTGAGTGTCACAGAACGAAAAGGCCGAGTAAGACTCCTTTTTCAGCTTCACTACACCCCTCACCATTGGTGAACACTAACCAACAAGTAAGAGGAGTTTTTCCATGACAGGCACTAACCACCTTTTGGCCACAGCTCCGGTCGGCTGCCTCAACAATGGAGACACCGAATTTGGTCTACCCGGATTCAATGGGCCCTCTCTTGACAGGGGGTTGTGTCAAATGTTTTCAGCAGACCCTTATAATACGTTTGGGTCTGCTTGGTTGGATACCAACATGTTACCCCACCATCACGGACAACACAATACCAGGTGGTGATCAGTTGACAGCTTCTCTCTTACCCCAAATGTCCAAGACATGCTGCCACAAGTCCAATGAAACGACCACAAAGTTGATCATTGAATGGAGGCCTCGGGTGTCCTGGTAGAAAGGACAAATAAAGACACAAATATGTTTGAACATAGCGTTCATGATGCACCCCTATGAATAACCGCCCACACCTGCCTGGCGTCTCTCACCTTGAAAAGAATTAGGTCAGTGTCACGAATTGAAGCTCCATCGTCCTCACCAAAATGTGCTCAGTAGGTTTAGGTAAACAACTGTGTGATAATGAGAACCTCACTAAAGTGCATGAATAGAATGTCACGACAATTACATTCAATTACATTCATCATAAATGCGAGTTGTATTTTAAAAAGTTTAGTTTAACTGGTTAGCTTCCCCGCCTCACAGTGCAGAGACGCAGGGTTCCATTTCGGCTCTGGCCTTCCTGTGCAGAGTTTGCATGTTCACCCCGTGCCTGTGTGGGTTTTCTCAGGGTACTCCAGTTTCCTCCCACATTTCAAAAACATGCATGGCAGGTGAGTGGAACACTCTAAATTGGCCTTAAATGGGATTGGCCCACTCCTGTTTATCTTGGGGGATATTATTCAAACCCAAGTTTGCAGTAGGTATCTGCAATATAGTGGCCAATTTTTATCCCTCCCACTTTCAGTGGATATATTCTAACTTATTTAAGACATTTATCATTTTTAAATATACTATAAAATATCGTGCGTCATTTTCAAATAATTCTTTTGGTACATGTTATCTTATTGTAACTACGCGGTAAAATGGTAAATGGAGCGCTATATCAACACCATACGGTGCCCAAACGCTTCACATTCACCTACACATTCATACGCCAGTCGGAGGCTGCTGCCATGCAAGGCGCTGTCAGGACAGATCATTTTTACACGAAGCATCACATTTTTACACCAATCATGGACAAGTTATGTGCATTAGCCCCGCTGTTGTCTCAGTGAAGCAAAATTCAGAACGGCTTGCTCCCAGAAACTTTTTTGGGTTATAGGCAAGACACAATGTATTGTTTGCTTAATTACACACTCGATGGGTTTTGGTTAGGTTAAGCTAACCCATTCCAAAGGTTCAACTCTTTGCGCACAAGAGGTTAAAAAGTAAAATATTCCAAATACAGTATTGTTAACTGAAACATGGAAATGGAAGCTGGTGCTATACTTCATCCAGGACATAGGAGGGACCAGAGAAGCTGAATGTTTGACGAAATGGAAGCTCAAATGTTAGACAAAGCACTCGGAGGGCCGGATGCACCCGCCCGCTTCACGCTTGCCCGAGCCTGAACACATGACAAGCAAAACCCGAAGGCTTGAAGGGGAGGCGGGAGCAAGTGTCGGCAATGCTCTGAACAGGAGATGAGCAAGAATAGGTCCTCAACGTTTAGATTTGTGCGTAAACTCGATGTGTGGATGAACGACTCTTCTCCTTCCAGCTCACCATCTCCTTCTTGAAGCTTGCACACTACTGCGTCTCCAGACAATACGACTGCATGCCTCTCTTTCTTTTGTGTTGGTGGACCATGAGAAGCTCTTCAATGTAAGTGGTCCTTTGTTGTTTAAGTCACTTTCATTGTCAGCATTTCATTAGAACCAATAGAGCGAGGGTCACATGTGCTGTCATTTATCAGCAGGATGGATGAGGCTTTGTTGCAGCATGCAGTTAGAGCATTACATTTGAACACATGAGCATCCCGCTGTCATTGTTCCCAGCGTCGGGTTGAACTTCGATCCGCGTCAAGTGCGATCAACTTTTTTTCGCTCACATAGTTCAAGCAACTGAGAATAACCAAGGCTGAAATTGTCTTTTTCTACGATGGATGCTTAAGTTCCAGCTATTTAGCTGAATGTTGCAAGTAGCTCCAGGGTCTGTTTGCCAGCTTTTCCTTTAAATGAGCCCGCAGCTTTATGAGGATTCCAAATTGGAACAACCTAACATGAAGCTCAGGCATCCCTGTTGATTTAAATAAAGTGGAATTCATTGGAATTTGCTGAATGTGGTTCAGAAACCAAGTCTGTGTTAAGTTTCACCCAAGACAGAAATTTGTTGTTCTCGTCCTGTATTTTTTTTTTCCACACAAGCAAGCTTCACGTGTTAGAAGGTGCAACTATCTGATGGGAACTACACCTGACATTGTCCATGAATAATACAAACAGTGAATGTACACTGCTATCAATAATGAAACCCTGGGCAAAGCTGTACATGTTGCTGTAAGAGTGTGTGTGTGTGTGTGTGTGTGTGTGTGTGTGTGTGTGTGTGTGTGTGTGTGTGTGCGTGCGTGCGTGCGTGCGTGCGTGCGTGCGTGTGTGTGTTTTACTTTTACTGGGCATTGGCGAGGCTGAGGTACAGCTATGATAATTCTAAAATGACAGTTCCATTTCACACAATACTTCTGCTTTTGAATATAAGTGAAGAAGGTTATTTTTGCACTGTAATGTGACACTGCTGAAGACCAATTCTCACACTATCTTAAGTTTAAATAAGTTGGTGTGACTCGTGACTAAAATGGATCAAACACTGTTCATTGAGAGAGGGTGCACAATACACTTGTAGGGTTATTGACAATTCGAAAGCATTTTGGATTTACAAAATGCCAATTTTGTGTTTGCTGTCAAACGCAGGTCTTGCCATATTTGGAGCCCAGGGAGGTTTTTGAAGCTTTGGGGGCTTTGGCAGCCGAGCCTGCTGGTGGGTTCAGTCTTTTTCATACCTTGCCAAAATCCTCCTCAAAGACTGCCATTCTCGGCTAGAGATTCAAGAGCTTGGCATTCAAATTTCAGTCTTTTAAGAAGAGAACTCTGGCTCCTTTCCACCTCACTAAAATGAGTTTGAATAAAGGGGGAGGATAGGGTGCATTTAAATTAGAACTGAAGCTTTAACACAGGTGATAGCTACCATTTACATGCCCTGTGGGCATTGAACTACATGAATAAGTGCATTGGTTCTACAAGTGACCAGACATGGCACTAATCAGCAGCAGGACAAAGGGTGAGAGAACCAAAGCACTTAAGCTCTGAGATAATCTTTGAACTAATCAAGTACCCTTTTCTGTTCTCTTTATTGCTGCAGAAAAGAAGTGCCAAGAAACCACACAGCAAGGCATTACTCATGTTCCATGTCAGTGGAAGCTTGTGTCGGGGCCACAAATATTATGAACAATCTGTCCACATTGTGGAGGGCATGATTCATTTAATACTGTCTCCTGCATTGTGGTTGCATCGTTTAGTTTTAGTGACCCTTTATAACAAACTCCCAAAACTGCCGACTACATCATACTGCTTGGTGGAAAATTTTGGGGGTTTGGGGTTCATAGGAGCCTCTTGGTAACATGAAATAGAAAACTAATAGCGAGCTCTATGGTTTGCCTTGTAGAAGGCGTAAATATGTAGGCCATTCTGGAAACGTTTTATAGAAGGCACAAATGTGAAGGCAAGTGTCTATTGTATGATTTGTTCAATAGCTGGTGTAGAATTTCTTTGTTGAATATATTCTGCAGTCCAGTGGCGGATGCTGGTCTGTCAAGGAGGGGAAGCTCAATTTCGGGCTACATCATAAAACATGTCTGTTTATTTATACGTGAATTCTACTCTCCGTTCCTTTTCAAGAAAATGATCTGTGACCCTGTCATACCAACAAGGCATCTTTTCCAGGGTCTTAACTGGGGTGATATCAGTCAGTCTGCGAACACAAGCAACTACAATAAAACACACCAGAAATAAAAGATTAATCTGTCGCCAGTCACTTTCAACAAAGAGAGTGTCGCTAAGATGATTAGAAGAAGTCTCCAGTTCAACTTAGAACAGAATGAGAATTGAAAAATGCTCCCACAGATGCCTCCACCAAAATATCGGTGATTGGCTCATTTCGCTGTCAATCAAAAAGAGATTCAGCCTCAGACAGATCATCCAATCATCATAAGGAAAAGCTCAGGATCCGGGCCAGCCGATACACGCCCACTGTCCATCGACTCCCAGAGACGCTGAGCGTCCGATGGGCGGGACAAAACCAGCATTTATCCAATGACTCGTCTCGTTTCAATGCATTGGGACTACTCTCGAGACGCCCAGCGTCCGCGTTGTAGACGCTCAGCGTCCACACAGTTTAAAGCACACTGAAGCTGCGGGAATGAACGAGAAGAGAGTCGCGTCGTAACCAGAAGCAAGAAGCTGTGATTCGGAGCAGAAGTTGAGCGTCTTGTAGCGCATATTTACTCAATGACATGTACACACAATTGTATGTACACACATATATTTGATCACTTATTTTTTGACATTTTAGGGGAAGCTGAGCTTCCCTTGCAGTCTCAGAGCAATCGCCTCTGCTCCAGTCGTGCTGAAAAGGCTGACACATCTTTTGTTCAAAGGTCCCACTTTCCTGATTCCCTACAATAATTCCGACTGCACTGCTAACGGAGGATAAATCGACATAATTGTTCCCATGTTACAAAGGTCTTAGCAGCTTAGCAGGGAATTGATGCGCCCCGCTGCTTGGCTCACATGGGGTTGCCCCTGTTAGTTTGCTCTTTGATTAGTCAAAGGTTGGAGTCAACATTTGGCATTTGAGCGCCAGTGGATCGATGTGCAGATTTCATCGGCTGAGGAGAGATGCTCCCTAAAGCGGCAGGTCAACAAACAAGCAGTTTTGTAACATTGTTTTATCATGTGTTGGATTCAAGGAACGTATGTCTAGTTTAGTGCTGTGAATTGCTTTTGCAGTCGCAGAATACAAGCCCATTCATCGATCCAGCCATTCTCTACACCGCTTACCTTCAGGGCACATACAAACACCTAACATTCACATTCAAACCTATGCACAATTTACTGCATTCAAGGAATGTTTCTCTAAGGTGGGAGGAAGCCAGAGTACCTGATGGAAACCTACACTAGCACATACCTGTATATGCTTATATCTGTATTTTATATTTTATATTACATTCTGTACTGTGTACAGTTCTTTTTCTGAAACGTTTATTTTGTGCATGCAATACTTCCCCTTCAATTTTGCTGCTGTAGATTGCAAATTTCTCCGTTATGAGACAAATTAAGGTTTTCTTATCTTCTTGTCTTATTACAACATAAAACTACATTCTGCTCCTGTATATTCAGTTTGGATTTCCACAGTTTTTTTTCTTCTTTTTTTTTCCAACATTTGTTTCTTATTTAGGATTTTTCACGATTATTTTCCTGATTTTTTTCCTCCCGTTCCCTTCCAGAATTTGTGGAAAATCTACATTTAATATTTTTTGGGGGGGGGTGGTTGATCTAAAAAAAAAAAAAACCCTTCCACTTAAAAAAACAAAAACATTTATCATTATTTTTACATTAATCCATGGGCCAATCTACTGTGTGTTCCCCAGTTGCGCATCCTTGATGTACACCTTCAGTGATTGGAAACTGAAGCCGACGCTGCCTGCAGAGAAGTCAGGTGCGAATGAACCACTACACCATCAAAAACTCCGCACGAGCAAATTTTCGCCTTAAAACCACACAAGCATACTTTTTCTCTAAGAATATAAGTTTTTCACAGATACAGATTAATTCTAGCAACACAATGTGAGGACAACACTGTTCAGATAATGGATGATTGCATATTGAATATCAATGTGAAAGCAGATTGTTTATTCATTCCACAAGAACCTCAGTGTCCTGAATGGTCTTACTGTGGCAAGTCGCAACAGATGAACAATTAGTACCATGGAGGTTTATTGATTTTACTTATGGGCCAGTGTATATTTGCGGAGGTGGGGAGGGAGGGGTGGGGCGGGGTTCCATATTGTCTGTTTGAGGCGATTATAAGGAGGCAGAAGTGATGTGTAACTCATCAGTGGCACACATGTAAAAATGGCAGACAGTTATTGGACAGATGCTCATGTCTTGTTTCCATTGAGCAGGTCCAACCCCACCAGCTCAGCCTCCTGACATCTCTTCTTGCTTGCCTGCTTTCAAAACCATTCCAATGCCGGACAGGAAGAAATTTGAATCCAGAGAGATTACAGTAATGCCTTATGCACGTAACCAATGATGGCTATGCAGCGTGAGAAGAAACATAACATAGATCCATCCGCTGGTTCTTGCCAAGTCTTTTTGTATATCAAAGATGGAAATAGAAATAATTTTTCTTCAAGCATTTTGTGTAAATCTCGAATTGTATGTTTCAAGGAGCATTCGGATCTTGAGGTGCCACTGTATTTACACGCACGTTCACACCAATGGACAATTTAGAGTCTTCGATTAACCTGGAGTTCCAATGTTTTGAAAATGGTGGCAGACTACACACAGGAGTGCCTGATCTGAGATTTGAACCCGGTTCCTCTCGACTATGAGGCTGAATGCTAACGGCTAGTCCGCCGGCTGCCCAGTGGGCGCATCATTTATTCAGTTTATAATTAATGGCTGTATTGTACTGGAGGCTTCACCCTGCCACCTTTCTCTCTTTATAAATTATGAATGTAGTTTGATTAATGCCACAGGTTAAACTCTGCCAACTGCAGCTCCTCTCTGATTCATCTAATGGCCAAAGCGAATACAGGGCTTTTATAT